AAAGAGTGCTGGGGATGCCAGGATATCCCCAGAAAGGCTGAGCACCAGTGCCAGCCTGGTAAACAAGAGCTGACGGTCAGGTGCCAAAGGGTTAAGGGAGAGGAATGGAGAGGGAAAGTGCCAGAGAAATCCCCCTCCTTCCTGGTGATATCCACCCACACAGGCAGCAACAGGAAGAGAAGAGATTCTAAGGGGAGCCATGGCAGGAACTATTACACTGCAAAGCACAAAACTCGCTCTGCGCCTGGCCGTGGACCTCCCCACTCCTCCACCTCCAGCAACGCCCCAGCTCTCGCTGCCCTGGGTGGGCCCCGGAGAGGTGGCCCCCACCAGGCAGCAATGGGGGTGGGGTCGGGGGCAGGAGGTCAGGGAATGAGAGGATGGGAGACACAGTCCCTGTACTCAGGGAGGGGCTATGGAAACGGGACGCAGCAGCAGTACACAATGAACACAGTGAGGGGATCTGACCTAGAACTCTGGTGGGAGAGAGAGGTCCTGATGGAAGGCTGCCTGCAGGGATGGCCTTCCTGCAGGACACATCCAGGATCGGGGACACACCCATGCAGACTAGTCTCATGCAGGGGATGGTGAGCAGTGAGCTCTGGTCGGCCTATCCTCCAGGTGCAGTTCCTGCCAGACCCCAACTCCCAACTCCCCGCCTTTCTGTGGCTGCCATGAGACGCTGCCCACCTGGCCAGCTTCTCTCCACTAGCTCCCAAGTCCTTCCCTGCAGCTCCCTCTCCTAACCGAGGCTCATCTTTGTTCCGTCTGTCAATGTGAATGCCTTCTGGCTCCTCAAACTCAATTCAAGGATCCCTCCCTTCTGCCACTGTCCCCGACTTATCTCAGCAGGCGAGGCTGCCCGCCCCTCATCCTCTCCCAACCCTGGGAACACACCCGGGCCCCTGCACACCCCACTGGCTCATGGGTTCTCGGGGCAGGGATGCATCTCGCTCATCTCGAGCCTCCCAGCCCCAGCACAGGCCTGCACACAGCACTCCCAAGTGACATTAGGAAGAGAAGGATCTCTGGGCCTGGTGTGGAAACTTCCTCCTGTTGCCCTAGACCTTGACCTTTAAGAGAACAGTGTCTCTGAATGTGTGTGCCTGGTGCGAGGGAGGCATGAACTTCCAGCTCTGGGCAAGCATTAGGTGGGAAGGACAGGAACAGAAGAGGGGCTCACAGCAGCATCTCCTCTGCCTGGGGACCGCCCCCCAGCACACAGACAGTGGGGAAGGCATCTTCTCGGGGGTCCTCAGGACTTGGCACTTGTGCCAAGAGGGAAGCGTGGGTCCCCAAAGGAAAGCCAAAAGCAGAAGTTTGCCGAGTGGTTGCTATGGCTTCGGGGCAGGGCTGCAGTGAAATGCTCCAGGGCTTGCAGGGCAGCTGGGCAGCATGTGTACGTAACCATGCAACAGGGTGGGGTGGGGAGAACTGGGGCAGAAAAAAAAGAAGTCTCGGGGGGGGCTGGCAACAGGGTAGGAATTCACACGCAGCTCAGGGGCCAGAGCAGGCCTCAGTGCACAGGGGGCTTCAAGTCCCCACCCAGGGCACCCCAGGTGTCCCATTCTCTCCTCTGCTGCACTCACCTCCCTCAGGCCACACAATGCTCCCAGCTCCATCAGCAGCCTGCCTTG